TGGTTCCTGGAAAAATCTATTTTTAAAGACCATTTTAAAGGAATAAGGTCCTTAGGCTAAGATCTAGGCTAAGACTTCGAAAAAACTAATTTTTGAAAAAAATATCTTGTGGATTTTCTGTGCATTTAAGCCCTTTGCTTTGGATTGAACCGTGTAGTAAAATTGTGTCTGAACATCTTTGGAATTGCATTTTTAATTATTGTTTGGCACAGAATCTGAGGTTTTTTTCAGGTCAGTTTGCATCAACATAAAAGGCAACAAATGTCCTTTTCATTTTTTTTTCTGAAGTCTTGAAGTCAGATATAGAGTCTGATCAAGTGTCATCAATATAAATTTATATTTTTCTATTGATATCACTCTGTGTCCACCCAGGCCTTTAGATATTCTTTGCTTCTAGATTTTTGTATTGCAATTTTAAGTATCCTCAGATTTCCTAGAAACCAGCAGTTACTATGATATTGTCATTTACTTTACTTTATTTGGCACTTTCAGCTGTGTGGTGGTTATAGTTGTAAGTAAAACAGCATAAGACTCAAAGGAAATTAGTCTGAACTAAACAAGAAAGACCTTTATAATTAGCACCGTATGGTTTCAGCCAAAAGGGTACAAGACACTGTATTTCCTATGTGGCATCCCTTGTCTGTTTGCTAAGTAGCACTGGAATGAATGGACACTGACTCATGACTTTAGATCAGCTTGCTGTTTTCTTAAAAGTCTAACCTTTGTAACAAAAAAGAGAAGAACTTTATTTCTGTATTTTATATCCTCAACATATGCAACTTCTTTCCATTCAGTATTAACCAGAAGTTTTCACCAGTCAATACATTTGCTATAAAATGTGGAATGTATTAACATTCACCAAAACAAAAGCTCTGATCTCTTCATTCTGTAATGGGTTGTTTACTCAAACACATCTTTTTCTCTGTAAAAGCAATCACATTCTTTATAACTGAGAAGGAAAAAACAAAACTCTTCTGACATCACTGTAGTCTGTGAGCCCCAAACCCAAATGGGACTCAAAGTGTGCCCGGAGTCAACAGAGGATCAGTGAACAAAGGTAGGCAGCATTTTTTGTTAAACAATCATTTAAAATTCTTCTTACCATTTTTCATAGTTTAGTTTATAGCTAAAAAAAAAAAAATCCACAACACATTTCGCACTCAACAGACCTGAGTTCAAATCATTTCACTGCTGTGCTGGATGAGATTTTAAAAAAAGTTCAGTACAAGAATAGCAGAGGTCTTTTGCTCTCTGGTAATATTTTTTTTTTTTTTTAATACAGTAGAAAAGAAACCTTTAGTGTCATAGTGTTCATGTTAAAATAGCTTAGGTGTGCTCTATGTCTTTACTGTTTCTGTAAAAAGCTTATAATTGCTTTTTCTTCCTGTAGTTTAAAGAACAAAAAGTGAATAGAAAGTAAGGATATTCTTCTGTGAAAAAAAGTAATGCCTCAAACACTTCCACAGAATTAAATTCAAGATCTGATTTTTATGGAAGATACCACAGGGTAACCACAACAACACTGACAAATCAAGAAAGGGGAGATCAGAGGTACAATCTCTTGGCCTCCAGGGACATGAAAGTGTATTAATTGTGGTGTTCTCACACCCTTCAAATATTTAGTCTTGTTTTTAAGATTTTTTTATTACTTTGGAGGAAAGTTGAAATTGAAGACTGGCTGAATGGGAGATCCCAGAATGTTGTAATCGGTGACACAGGGTCTACTTAGCAGTCTGTCACAAATTGTGTCTCCAAGGTTCAATGCTGGGTTCAGCAGCGGACTTTAAACTGCAGAGGAAACTGTGCATACTTGAAATTAATTTTTTTTCATATAATGGATTGAACACTAGTTCTTAATATAATGGATCATATAGAAAAACTTAGATCATATAGAAGAATCTTAGATTGAAATTTAGATTTAATCGTAAATTTATAAACAGTTATAAACTCTTCCAGACTTCACTGAAATAATATTAGGGTTCTTCCCTAGGACAGATTTCTGACAAGTTTAAAATCTCTTTTTAAGCTCAATTAATTTTTTTTTCAGTTTGTTCAAGTTGCTGTTAATAGACTTGCTTTTCTGCTACCAATTTCTATTAAATCTGTGTTCTCATTATTTTTTAATAAAAAGTAGATTTTAATTAGCAAGTCCATTAGTCAGACTAGCATAAGAAAAAGTCCACAAAACATTTTAAAATTAACCATTTAAAATTGATCTTTAAAATTCTTGTTTACCTGAAGCTATTTTTTTGTCTATGGGTCCAAGGTATAACCTTGTACCCAACACCTTTGTGCACAGCATTTAGTTCTTGTTCTCTTTGGAAAAACATTATAGAAACTTAGCTCTACTTTTGCTTTTTTGTTTGTTTGTTTTTATGTTTAAAACCTTTATCTTTCCCAGCACATGCAACCTCTTACCCGCCCCATAATTATTGCCTCTGAATAGCTTTTACTGAAAATATTTCTAACTACACTTTCTCTCCCTCTCGTTTTCAGTTGTGCAACTTAAAATGATGGCAGTCTTTGGCTGTTACTCTATTAGAAAAAATTGGAGGCTTGTGGAATTTCAAATTACAGTTGGTTCAGTTTCAGTTCAAGTTTTACTACAGAAGTTGTACTGAGATGTTATGGTGAAGGTATGTAAAATAATTATTTCAAACAAAAGGAAAAAAATGTAAATGATGGGTAAATACAGCTGTGCTTGATATAGTTATTTAAGGTATAAACCTAAGAGCCAATCAAGAAATTAAGCATTTAGCTGGATTGACTAAAGCTAATATATTTACACCCAGCTCTAAATATGGAAGCAAGGATACCCATGAAGAAAGTAATTTAGCAAAAAAGCATTATTTGAGTGCAAAAATGTGATTGGGGATAAATTATTCTATTGATAATGAAACAAGAGAAGAGTACAAACGTGTAAATCAGGAGCTTGCCAATCTCTCTATTTCCAGATTTCATTTTAATGCACAAACTAAAATAGGAAGAGGCCTCAGCTAGAGAAAGGCATGCCACAATTAGAAGTTTGAAGAGGATACACATATATGTTGGCTCAGTTGAAATCAACAGTTTGTACTCCTTTATAATGTACCATGACTGTGCTTTGAAAAGCTGATGAGCAATGCACTCTCCTTCTAGCATTTCCCTGTACTGCATCAAACTGAACAATGGTGGGGTGGTGGCAATAGGCAGTTCTTCCCACAACCCGTCAATGAGGAAATAAAAACCTGGTATCAACTTTACAAAAGGAACAAATGCTCAAAGTGGTCTTGCCACAGGAAAACAGTAAACCACACCATTGGAGATTTATGCCATGGTAATTTTTTAGATTTCTAATGTGATAAATTTAAATTAGCAAAATTATTAAAGTTTCTCTATTTTTGTAGAGAAAGTCCAGTGTTGAATACCAAAAGATTACTCAGCTACATCAGCTAATTGAGGATGACTTGGTTTTGAGTTCTCAGTAGAATATTTCTGAAAATTTGAAAGGAAATAAAGGAGCAGAGAGAGATATTTTTCCCTAGAGAGGTCAGGAATCTAAAGGAAGATTTCTCTTCAAAAAGAAAAGGGAGATAGGATTTTCCTTAACTTTCTAACAAGAAGGGGCAGGAATCTCAGTTGACACACCCATCTTTTAATTTTTTAGGAGCGAAAAATAAGGAATTTTGAGTGATAAGATCTAAATGCAGACTGAAATCAAGAACAAAGATGTACACAGCAGCTAGTGGCTTTCTTTTAATGGTTTTTCATGTCTTTGTTGTTAAACTAAATTCTGCATTACTTAAGTTTGTGCATAGAGAGGAAACACAGGTTAAAATTTTACTGTATTTTTTGGGAAAAATACAGCAAGAAATTGATAGATAAAAAATAATTTTACTGTGAAGAACAACAAAAGGCAGGAAACAGGCGTAGCAACTTCACTGAATGCGAAATGAAGTTATTGGAAAAGGGTGAGGAGAAAAATAATGAAAATCAAACTAAACCAAACCTCAACAAAGAAAGTGAGGTTAGTAAGCTAAAAAACAACAAAAAAGACCTGAAAAACTTGAAGAAATATATCTGCTCAAAAAGTGTAAATCAATTAGTAAGGTAGTAAAGAAATTAATATTGTAGGATTTATGTCAGAGTGATAACTGCAAAAAAATATGTTTGCAGGGCAATGAGTTAACAGTGCTATTTCCAGTATGACAAGTAGGAAAACAGAACAAATTATATGTTAGCTACCTGGAAAATAACACAAATGTGATGGAAGCAATAGAAGACACTGAAAAGTAAGTTGATTTTTACTCTGTCTCCTAGTTCTGTGACAGAGAGGTGAAATTGTCATTTCACCTGAACATCACATCACCTGCAGAAACATTTTGATCTTCTCTCTTCATTTTCATTATTTAATAAGGGATGTGTTGTTTCTTTAATCCTTTGTAAGCACATTGCTGCAGCTGTAGCCTTGCTGTATATCTGTGCACATATTAACTATGAAAATGTTTTGGCCACTGCTGCAGAACAGATGTGCTTAAACTTCCTCCTGGAGAAACTCCCCAGAGAGACCAAAAGGGTTTAGATTCCAAAAATAAATTTTATTCCAAAATAGAAGTCTAAATGTATTGAGTTTCAAAATGAAAAGTCAAAGCAATGAATAAAGAGAACAAAAATGGAAGTGTTTATATGCTGCACATTTTGTCCCCGTATACTGGAATTTACTGTTGTGTTTCAGTTCAATTAGCTTGATACTTTCCGAACAGCGGCAAAATTTGATCCTTTCCCCTCTGTCCCACTGAAGCCCTTCCCTCTGTGTTTGTGGCCTTGCTACCAGACTCATGCCTCTTAACCTCTGCATGAGCTCTGGCCTTCAGGCTGGATCTTGCTTGCCAGCAGCTTTTTCTACTCTGCATACGTTCAGAAATTCCCTGGTGACATGAGTGGCCCTCTTTTCCAAAGGGTTCTGTTGGAGCCAGCCACTCCTTAAGCCAAGGACAGACATATGCTTGGGAGCACAGACATAAATTTTAGCAAAGATGGTCAAGTGAGCAAGTACAGTTGTCTACTATGCATTGAAACACTGTATATTTCAGGATGGATACTTTATATATTTTTATTGATTTGTTTATATTTAATTCTTCGATTGCCATAAAATTATATTAGCATACTTTTTACTTATTGGACAAGGCTTGATTTGAATTACGGGGAGACTATGTGTTATTAACAAAATGTAGTTAGTTATATGTTTCAAATAATTTTAGCTTCTGGTTAAAGTAAACCTGATTTTATGGTGGTGGTATTTTTGCATACACTAGCATTGAAACTCTCTCCTAGGACAATTAAAATTGAGATATCTGGACAGATTTTCTAATGAAGGATTAATACTGTACACTTCTATTTCTTTGGTTTGCTTTTACATTTGTATCCTTTGTCATGCTATTCTGTAAGTCTTTTTTCAAATGCTATATTGATAACCCCCTTTCCAACAAGTCCTTTGCAATGCTGAGTGCTTTGCTTGTTTTGTGCTCTTGCCACTTCTCCTCCTACAGATTAAACCCCTTACATAGAAGCAGTTGATAGCAGTACCTGACATGATGGGAGCACTCAGAAAAAAGGAGCATTTTGTAAAGCTCGGAATCTCAGGCAAGAATGTAATTTCACTGTTGATAAAACACAAACACAACAACCCAAAGCTGCAAAGCAAAACTAAAGAAATGTAGCCAATTCAACCAAGCAATACGAATCTAGATGGATAAAGATCTGACACCACCTAGACTGAGAAAAGTGACCTTGCTATAAATTCATAAACTACATTCTTTTAGTGTTCCTTTTCATTTTTGTTTGATATATTCCTAAAGATTGTTGCCTACATGAGTTCACTGAATTGCAAATATTTGGCATAAATTACCCCTTCTCATGGTTCTACAGAATAGTTGAATGGTAAAAGATAGAGAATTTCAATTGCTTCATGGAACAACCTACATGTAAAAGGACTGTCAGAGTATAGTTATAAGAGATAAGAAATAGAGGAAGAACAAACTGAGTTCCTGTTACTAATAAAACTGTTGCAGTTAAAATTGATTGGAAAAGTAAAACATTTCAAAGGCTTGCATTTCATTGTATATTAAGATGCAGTCCATCGATAATAATGGCTCTTCAGAGCATGCTTTTTTCTTCATAGATTAATTTCCTAAAACAAGTAGAAATTATAAATTTGTCTCAGCAATATGTTTCATGTCTTGTAGACCAGAAAATTCTCTTTAGCTGGATGACTTCAGTGTTACAGAAGCTGTATATAACAAAGTAAAAGGAAAGGAGTCAGGGAGGAGAAAAGAACAATAACGAGGAGAAACTCATCATTTTTTCTTCTACCTCTGAATGGGGGTTGGTATCTCTCTAGGAAACAAGGTGCTTGAGTTCCCTTGAGGCAAAAGAGAATAAATTGCCAGTAGCAGACAAGGTGAATGCAATTGTATATAAGGTGGCTGAATAGAAGAATCTCTTTGTGATTGCTTTCTAAACCATCAAGAGGGTCTGGAATAGGGCAGCCAAGGGGTATATTTTTCACTTTACATATTTTTTTTGTGGCTGTGCAATTTTCATGAAAAATTTATAATACTGTATGTTCAAAAATGATGATCAAACCTGGTTTGCAAATTACAATATGTGTCTATCATTAGGTACTATGATTTACTATGCTACTATGTTTTACTTAGCTCAATTCTTAGAGGAAAATCATAGACAGTGATTTGGAAAAGCTCCTCCTCAACAGCAGAAACATAATAATTTCTTTCCTAAGCAGAAACAATAAGAGCTGTTAAATATGTTGCCAATGTATAATTTGCATTTTAATGTTGAAAGTATTCTGATAAATTACAGTTTTCTGCCTTTTTAAATCATGCATATAACTATTGAATGTTGTATAATATTATCGCTGGATCACAGAGATCTTCAGCTTATCTAATATTATTTGTTATAAGCATTAAAATCAATCTTCCAGCTCTTCCTGATTAACAGACAGTCATATTTTTTTCATTTCTATAGCTAATGTCGTAATAAAATTATTTAAAACAAGTTGCACTTTGAAAAGAGGAGAAAAAAAAAATCACTTTAACATATTTTCTTCTTGCAAATTTTCTTTGTCAGGTTCTTCATAGAACATGCTGTTCTTTCTCATGACACAATGCCTAACAGATTTCTACTGTAATATTTCATTCTGTAAAGAAACCTGAAATATGTATAGGAAATAGAATGCATTTAATGACTAAACAGTGTCTTTCTCATCCTAGACTTTTTCTCTTTATTCAAATTCATGCATCTGAGATGGTTTCTAACAGCTTATTATGGAAGCATAAGATAGTGTAAATGGCACAAGCACAGACTAAAAGCATTCTACCCGACTACACATGCAGTCCTTTTTCCTGTTTTACTAGCACTTAACTTGAAAAAATATTACAAAGTAGAGGATCATTACTTTAGACTTAATGAAAAGCACCTCTTCATCTAGAAGAGGTCAAAGTAGATAATATAGTGAATGTTTGGAGAGAGTGAAAGAACAGTTACCTCTCTCATGAGCACTGACACGTCTTTTGTGCTCACTCAGGAGAAATGTGTAAGTCTATTCAAGCTGCTTTTAGTGAGAGGGTAATTTTCTATAAAAGTTTCTTCTGGCTTAGTCCACTTAAGAACAGATAGTGTTTTCCTTTTCTCCAGAGGTCTGGGGCAGGGAGATTTTGACTGCAGGTAAAATGCAGTGAAAGGCTCTATGCTCAAAAGCTGTAATGGTTGCTAGTTGCTCTGGGGGAACCTATAAATACAATACTGTCTCTATGCACATGTTCCACATAGCTCATCTGTAGCATGGCCATATATGATCTTTTGCATATGAGACCTATAACTTTTCTTTGTGGCATGATGGTTTCCTTCATCCTGATTGCTTTCTAGAAAGGTAATAAAACAGTTCGAGAGAATGCAAAATACTGGTTGCTGGGCAGTTATGCAAGAGTAGGATGAATGTTTTGAAGCAGGAAGGGACATTAGAGAACATAAGATACAACATTGTGTGTGGTTCTGACCCTGTGTGAGTTAAAAACACAATCAAATTAAAAAATAGAAACTTCAAAAATTACATTTCTTAATTAGAAAACAAGGCCTACATTTGGAATACTTCACAGCACTTGTGAGTAAGAGTGCTTCTTAATCCAAAAGAAGGATCAGCCAGAGACTATGATATAAGACCATGGATGGCACATAAAAACTGATGTGTTCTCACCTGCTTCTAAAATCCTTGCAGCTATCGTTGTATAGCTGAACTATTAGTTTATTTTTATTCAAGGAATGACACTTTATCCCCAGGCTTAAATATATTATGCTTTAACTACTATTACACCATCTTTTTCATCCCATGGCAGACATATCACTTTGATTTTATTTCGTTTTATTGAGTGCTTATTTTATGACAGGTTTCTGTTTTGTTTGGATTTGGGGGGGGGGGGGAGTGTTGAAGGGAAAAGGAGGGAATGTTGAGGCTATTTTCACCTGTATTCAGACAATTCTGTTGCAAAAGTGAAGATATATTCCTTTTAATGAAACATCATTTTCAACTACAAATATACACTATTCCCTGTGGCAGAATATTTCATGCAGGGTGATAAAAGAATATTTGTGGTGGTGAACTGCCCTAGAATGAAATATTTCTCTTTCTTGTTATAAATCTGTGCAAATGCTTTAAAATATATTAGTTCATTGTAATATATGCATGGACATCCACATTTTTACACAGAAATTGACAAATATACTTGTCGATTTCAAATATATTCACTCATCCATGCAAAAACTCTTCAGATGAATATTTGTATCATCCTTTGGTTTTCTACACACACAAGTGTACCTATATAAAGTCAGAAGACTGACTACTTCTTTGGGTTTTTTTAACAAATAATTGTACGTTAACCCAAAATCATATGTAATATGCTGCACTGGAAATACATCCAACAAAACTTTACTGTAAATGTCTTTAAACTTTCAGGAAAGTGTAATTCAAAGGATACTTGTCAGTGCAGGTTGAAAATTAATACTTTCATTTGTATGAGAATTTATTTAGCATCTTGTAAATGTTCCCAGGTGTCACTTTAACATGTATTGCCTCTGGGGAAAAAAAATTACTTTGAAGACATATGATAACCCAGAATCCTTATTTGACAGTACTTTTAATTTAACATGTTCAGGTGAAAGTGGTAAACAATAACTCTACCTAGTCCTTACAAATTGTATGTATATGATTCTTTTACAATTATATAAGTACTGTGGGTGCTTGTCCTTCATGATGTTTATCCTTGTTGAAAAGCAAAATTATACAAAGCTGTCCAAACAATATTATGTTGATAATCTTTGCCACAGCTCCTAGAAATTCCAACATTTATTCTCCTAATGTCTCTGACATAAATAATATTTATCAGAAATTAATTTTATAGACAAGAATAATTATTTAAAAATTCTAGGTTGCACTATGAACTTGATAACAAACACAAGCAGTATCTTTGATCTTCAAATATAATTTTTCCTATACATAATGTTTATAGAAATAGAAAAAAACATTCATGCTCCTGTTTTACAGCCTCTAAACTATTTTTCTCCCACTTAAGTCTTATTCCCAAAATATGTCAATCCTGCCATGAATAAGGAAGATAGCAACAAAATTTTGCATGGTAAAATATATGCAACAAGGAGTAAAGTTTAAAAAAATTGAATTATTGTTTCATATAACACAAAATCAAGCTGTAGGATTTATTGTCTTAGAGTGCAGTAACAGTTGGAATATATAGGGGCTAAGAAGTATGAAATCCTCTCAGTGACTATCAAACATGACTGTGTGGATGAGGCTTCCAGAGAGGCTTAGAAACCTCTCATAATCAGCACCCGAGGAAGGCTGAGAATCTATGTTGTTTTCTAACTCTTACATATTAACAGGTGCTTTGGAAAATAACAGACAAATCAGTGAACAACGTACATAGGAAATATATATTATTGTTTAAAAGAAATTACAAGTTTTAGTCCAGGAGATAATGCTAACTGCCATAGAAATTTTCCTGAAATTCTCCTGAAATTTTGTAAAAATACTTCTAAATTCAAAGAAGAAAATGCACCAAAAACAGTGTAAGATTTCTTCATGGGAATTTAAATTGAAAGTGATATGTATGTAGAATAATTTTAAAAAAGGGAATTCAGCCTTAAAGACCAGAATAAAAGACTGCAGCAGGTTTCATATGGGTGCTATTATTACATGTGAACTTGAGCTCAACTTCATTTGAAACAAAACTCTATGAATAGTAATATATTCATTAATTTATAAGTGTATTAAATGTAAATATATATAAATTTAAAGTATAATAATTATTATATAGATTACAGTGATAATTTAATATTTGCAAAAACTAAATATTTGTTTCATAGTGCAGATTTGATTTCTTGTAGGAACTTGAGTTTAGACTTGGGAAAATTCCAACACTTGAAGTGAACAAATCCATCCTCTAAGGATTAGTCCCCTTTTGCAGGAGTAACAGAAACACTTCAGATGATGACAAGTATCTCTGTGTTAGAATGCTTAATTTCATTTTTTAAATTTTCTTATGCCACTACTCAGCCTGCTTGTTACTGCTTTCCTGGAAGATTAGAATGAAGTGTTGGAAACATAGAAGAAAGAAAAAAGAAGGAATTATGTGTCATGTTTCAAAGATTATGTTCCTTAAAGAATGTTTCTTAGCTGTAAAATTGCCATACCTATGTGCAACCTGCAACTCTAATGTTATAGCATTAGAGACTTTAATCAGTGATTAAAGTTTCCTGGTTGAAATGACAAGGTATGAAACAGCATTTTCCTCTATTTTCCTTTCCTTTGCTTCTTGGAAAAATATTTATTGCATATTTTAAGTAGTTTACTGAGTTTGATAGCTTATCCCTCTGCTAATTCAAACACAGTACTTCTCTCTATGCTGTTACAATGCCTGGAAGAGCATATATTTTAGATGATTGAAATTAATTTCAGTGTCAGACTTTCATGAGCAAGCCAGGGGGAAAATAAAACAACTAAAAAAATCATTTAAAGTATAATGCAAGGAGAATGGAAGAAATCATAAAGATTTATAAAGGATACATATTCATAAAAATAAAATTTTAAAAGTTAATTAACTGGGAACAGTGGTTTCTAATTAAAAATAATAAACAATGAAAATTACCCCGAACTGTTTTGTCTATGAAACATATTTTGCATTTCCACTTTTCTTCCTTTCCCTGCCTTTTATATCAGAAGGCATTCTGTGAATAAAGTTAGGGTACACCTCTTAGTTGCTTTAAAAGGGGGAGAATTTCTCACACAATTCAGAAAATATTCTAAAAAAGGGGTTTCTTGATCAAAATATTAAACAATCACATTTTCATCTTCATTTATCAGTAAATTTCTTGTAATCTCGGAAAAATTAGATC